CTGCTGAACAAGTTAGTAGTTATTGCCAGTTGTCATGTTTGTTCATGAATGAAACTGAGACTAGGGGTGGGAATCTCTAGACGATTTAGAGGGCTTAGATTCAATTATAAAACAATTAGCGATGCATTTCGATGCATCAAAATACTGTATTTGTAGTTATCCATAACTTAAAAACTGATGAATTTACTTGCATACCCCTGGTCAGTCAGATTGTATTTATCTGTAGTTGCTCACACGAATCTATTGTGGGACATATATATGGGATATATACATGCTGACTTAGAGTCCAGTGTTTCCGTAGTGTAATATTTCAGCAGAAACAGTATGCAACTCACATTCTCTTGAATAATATATGGCCCAAATCCTTTTTATTATAAAAAGTTAACTGCATTAATGAATTAATAAATTTGAAAGCATCTCACAAATCTCCTGTGTGTATAAGAATATGAGGGGGAGGCAGAGTGCTCCAGGGCGGCCGCTGTGTTGTTATTTACGTTATGCCAGCAGCGGAGTGCGAGCAGCCTCACTCTCCGTTATCTCCGGTGAAAGCCAAGAAGCTGAGCAGGCCGGGCGAAGGTGTTTTTAAGGTGAAACAGACTGAGCAGAGTTATTTTCTTCAACACAGAGGTGTTTTAAGTTGTTAAATGCTGCAGTATGTGTTGGTCAGCCGGTTTATGTAATGATTGCTGCTCCGTTAATTAACGCTAGTCTCTGGAGTAACATGCTTGCAACTGCTGCCTTTAGTGACGATGAATTACATGGTCATTCTAGCCTTTCCGCGCTGCAGACCTCATGGTCAAGATCTGCCTCTTTCATTGCGTCAACATCATGTTATAATGAACATTTAGATAATCGATTATTGACATTTGTAAAACAATGGCGAATTGTCAATTGTCCACTATAATTGAGACGCACCTTGTTAGCCTCAAATGTTTGTCTTCCTGTTTTGGGCTGAACTCTCGCTTTAAAGGCTCATTTATTGGAGCAAGATGGCCTCAATTCAGCCTGCCTGTCTCTTATCAAACTCTTCTGGAGGTTGACAGCTGTTATCACAGTTTGCTAATATGTAACAGGCTTTTCCCGGACTTGTAGATGTCCTTTAATCCCATTCATAATATCTCTTGTCATTTAAGATATCAAATCCAAACTTGAGCTGAGAAAAGTAATCCACGGAGAAGATTTAAGCTGGCTTTATCATTCCCACAATTCAGCCTGCAAATTAGCTTTAGCTGCCGATAACAACGACACATGGGAAACATCAGTGTGGGCTTTTGATGGGGATTTGTCAACATTTGCAGACTAAATGATGAATTGATAATGAAAAGAATTGTTTACAGAGCTATTGCATACGTTATTCCAGTTTTATTCTACTAAAAGAGACACATGCAACAAACATGTTATGAGACAGGTTCTAGCTAACGCATCAAAACAGAACTCTGCTTCCTTACTTCATTTCTAAAATGCTTCCAGTCAAGTAAGTTGGCTGAACTTTGGACAAACACCATCGCCATCCAAAATTCACATTAACATACATGCACATACACACACAGCCACACACAAACACACACATACCATCAGTGAAAGCCTCCATTCAGCAGATCGCCTCATTTGAATTAGAGGAGCTACTATTGTCTGCCAAATAGGCTCCGTTTTGGTGAGATTTTCCAGTTTCTATGTGGACCAACAAAACAACACACCCAGCTCCCGCTTGAGCCTCACAGTTATTCATCTTTTTTACTTTACCTTTAAAAGATTATTGCATTCAATTCAAGCCACAGCTCCCATTCTCCTTAAAAAATAACCAGAAGTTGAACCATGAAAACCCCAACCCTATAACTTTGTTCCAGAATCCTTTAAAACTCCTCTGTCCTGCTGGTACAGATATATTTTGTCTCCTGTTCAGACAAATTGATTTTAAACCTATTTTACAAAGTCCAACTTGACCACAAAGCATGTTAAACCAAAAAACAATGGCAACAGGACTTGGCTCTTCTCCTTTGTGTCGAATGTAACAAGAAAAATATAAATACATTACTAGATATTAGCCTAATATAGTAATGAGAGAAAATAGCATTTATATAGATAAATGAACCTAAAACTAAACTGTAGTTCCAGATGTTTCCCACAAGATGAGCAAATCAGTGAGTGTATTTACATGGACAGTTTAATTCCCTTTTCATTCGGAATCAAAGTTCATTCCTATTAAAAGTGATCTTGTAAACACCTAATTCGGAATGAAAATGGCCAATGCGATTGATAATTCAATCCGATGTAAGGGGCTGGAATATTCTGTTTAAATTCCCAATGAAAGAATTTCTCGCACTTGTACTCATTCCTCTTTAAGTTCATTACGGTCTTTCTGCGCATGCTTATTTCCTTGCCCTTCTGGCGCGATGACGTATATAACGCACATAGCAACGAGCTGAGATAGAGCAGTCGGACTCGTTGCACTCACTGCTTTCCATTCGCCACAGCACGGTCATCTCTCTCCCTTCTTCGACCTTCTACCTCCCTTCTCCTCCTCAACAGACGAAGCATTAGCAGAACAAGGTTGTTGTCGTACTGCTGCTTCAAGAATATAAGCAAAACAAGCCCGAAAAAGGCACTAAGAACGGCGTCGTCAAGCATCTTGGTATCTGGAACGAGGACTAGTACTACGTATCCAATCAGAAACCTTCCCTGCCCCAAACCTTGTGCGGACCCGAATACAGGCGATTAAACTGATCTCCTGTGTAAACCCTCATTTAGAATGATAATTTCCCATGTAAACTACCTGGAAAAACTTTAATTCCGAATGATTTCATTCAGATTTATTTCATTCTGAGATTGAAACAGGGTTTATTTACAGTTAGAAATGCTTCACCATACAATTTAAACATGATTTTGTGTCTACAATTAATATGTTAATGTTTCCATATTCACATTATTTTACCCCAGTATGACAGACTCACAAATAAAGAAATGCATAGTTGAAGCAAATAGTTAATTTACAGGTACAATAAGTTCATAAGTTCACTGGCAGATAGGTAGATAGATATCCCTCCACTTGTGGTCTTTTTTTTTTTTAGGAGCTAACGCCATATGTTATACACTCAGACCTCCAGGGCTTTTAATAAAACAGATATACCGCCCCCATTTAGCCTGATATTTTTCTACAGATTTATTTCATTCCGAATAAGAAGCCATCATGTAACCGCACCCAATAACACTTTAGCTGCTAATTCAGTTTAGATGAATAAATAAAACACATTTTGACAACACTGACACAATTTTATTCTATTTTTTATTATACTGGTTGTGGGTAGTTTTTGTTCCAGCTAAATGGGTCTTTAAGGATTTCTGATGTTCTTCTAAAACAGCAGCAAGCGTCGCTTAAAAATGTAACTTATACTGACTCGTGAGTAAAACCATGTCTTACCGCTGTAAAGGATTTGAAAATGTTTGACTTGGTGTCACAATGACTTGACCAAAAGACATTTTTACAAACACAATAACTTGTAACATTGAAAGAAATAATTACTTTAAGAATCTTTCAACCACTAAATGACCATTTGTGTAACAGTTTGCTGTGCCCTGTTACTTTGAATTAGTGAAGAAAACTTTGTTGTTTTTTTACATGCATCCATGGAAAATGGCAAAACATCCTTTTGCTAACTCTCATACAACTCGTGCAGTATAATCCAAGTCTCATTTTTGCAGTCGCATCGTCAGTACTCCCCAAACATAATAAATAAATACATAAAAAATAAACTTGACTAATAGTGAAACTTATCCATGCTCTCTTTAAAGTCTGACTCCAAAACTAAGATTTTTAAGCAAAAATGCATGTGTTTAAGACTTGGATTCAACTGCACAAGTCACGTGAGAGTTTGTAAACGGATGTTTTGATGTAGTTTTGCCATTGTTACATGCGGTCCCCAATCAGTCAATACATAAATATGTTCCCCGTTTTCCGTGGAGGCATGCAAGAAAAACTTTCCCTCACTAATTCAAGGTAACACTGCGTGAATTATTGATTTACAAATGTAATGTGGTGGGTGAAGTTTTCCTTTAAGTTATCAAGTTGCTGAAAATAAAAGCAAATTTTAATGATCAACAAATACAAATATAATTCCAAAATCTCAAATGTGAGGATTTGCTGCTGTTTGAGGTTTTAGTTTATGTCACTGTAGTTGGAAAATCTTTGGATTTTGTATTGTTAGTTGAGGAATGTGACCTCAGACCTCACCTTCAAGCTCTGGGAAGGTTTGCTGACAGTCTATAAACTCAATGCATAATCATAAAAGGCATAAACTGACTGATTAGTAGTGTAAATAAATATTAGTTGCAGCCCTATGTGCTTATAATAACATACCACTTCTACACATAGGGGGCTTTAAACTTCCATGCAAAGAGAAGATGACTACATGGGGGGCACAGTCTGACTCTAAAAAACACTGTGGCCAAAAAAAGCACCCTGCTGTTAAATCTGAGCCGATGACCACGTGAATACATAACCACGAAAACTGACCCTTTGCTGCACCTTTGCAACTGTGTGTGCTGACGTCTGTCAACCTGTGAACGCAGCACTGTCAGTTTCACATTTTTTGACAACTTCCTGAAGTCAGTGTTATTGTAACTTACTGCGACGCCCAGCTTCGGCTTAGCTACGTGGCTCCCTGTTCACCCGCGCCGCTGTAACTAATGACCTGCCATGCTTGCACAGTGCTAAAAGGAGGTCCATTTTGTAAATCACATCACACACTCACTCACACACACTCACACAGTATGGGAATGTAAAGGTTGGTGGTATTGGGGGGTGAACCGTTGAGGCGAGCACAGAAGCACGGGGAAGTACGCAGCGTTTCAATCTCTGCTCCCACTGCAGCGAACAAACTAACATTTGAAGGGTTTCAGGCGGATCTCGCCACGGTTGGTACACGGCGAGGCAGCCGACGACCAGCGGATAGACCGTGGAGACCTCCCCGCCACAGTGAGCCACCCGCGGCCGAGCTTCTTACCTGTATCTGGGGGATGCCGCCTGGTCCGTCCACTGTGTCGGGCGAGTTGTCGAAGACTCGGTCCCTGTACAAAGACCACAGCCCGACGTTGGGGAGGAAAAGAAGAGCCGCTATGAGCAGCCCGGCGAACTGCAGCAGCCTCTTCTCCTTCCGCCTCATCTCTCCGGGAGAAAGCGTGTGAAGCAGCGGCGGTGGAAACTAGCGAGCCCCGTACCCCCGCTTTTCCAAGCGGAGACAACTTTCACTCTGACTGGGGGACGGACACCGGCGCTGTGACGCTCCACAGCTGCGAGCTCCGCCGCTAGGGGGAGCGAACCACTGCACTAAAGCCGGAGCGGGGGTGAGGAGCTGGGGGTTCAGTCAAAAGACCACTTCCTCCCTTTTTAAACTGGAAATTAACATCTCTTAAAAAATATTAAATTCCCATGTGTAACCACAGTCAGTAGATTACACACAGCGAGAGCAAAGTGAAACTACATTATCATGGAAAGTTCTATGGGCAGCTGACGACCTGTGCCGCCTTCAGATGCACCTCGGAAATAACACGAACGATGTTTTCTAGGGGCATAATAACCACCTGTATAGGCTATCCAGTAAATCCACCCTGGAGACTTGTCAAATAAATTCATTGAAGCATGATAGCATATAGAACCCACTTTGAATCACCTGAAGACACTGTCTCATGAATATAAATGGACACTTGTCTCAGGTGACTGGGATTATCATAAACACATCCTGCTGTCACTGTGGACTTTCCTGTCACTGCTAAAGTACATTTGGTCACCAGTATAACAGCTCTAACTTTTAATTCTCATTTTGAGTACACAGGGCAGATCCTTTTTTTTTTGCAAACTCTTAACATGCTTAATGAGTAAACAGAAGTATGCATATCCTTTTCAAATGGCACAACACCCCTCCCACCCCCTCACAAACACCAAGGGGCCAAACTACCCAACAGGTGGCATCCCTACACAACAAAGAAAAAGAAATGACCAGTTTTATGACACATGTCAAAGTTAAGAAAAATTCGGACTTAATATTAACGTAAATGCAGATGTTTCCATACAGTGCACAAGGTATAAAAATGATGTAAATCGTGATGCTGGATCACATCACACTCACCTAATCTCAAAGCAGCTGAGCACGTGAGACAGCGCTCCCCACCACTATCATCAAACACTTAAAGGGAAATTTCGGTTTATTTCAACCCGTCTCCTATCGTCCTAAATTTGTTTCAAGTGACTAGTGACATAAAAATAATAGTTAGCATGTTAGGCGTTAGCCTAGATATAGCCGGGGTGCATAGTAGTGTCAGACCTGTTAAAACGTACGTGAACGGGCAACCTTCAAGTGCAAAGTTAGTCCACTAAACAAGCTTTTTTTCCACAAAGACCGCCTCATATCGTTAGGATAAATGTCAGAGAACATATAGAAAATGACATGTAAACGTGTTGTCTTACCTTACCGGTGTGCTGCCATGTTTGTTTACCATTTAGCTCTGCTTTCCAAAGCGCGGCCGAAATATATCTCGCGAGCTCTAGATAAAGCTCAGCTGGATACTACTCCAGGTGGAGGTGTCTCGTCCTAGGTCACATCCAGACCTTGAAAATAAGGCTGCAACCGCTCCCATTCCTTGCAACAGAGGCATTCCTCTTCTGTGGGCACTGGGGCACAGCATTCACAGGTACACCACCAATCTCCAGAGCTACGCAGCCTTGCAGCAGCCATTCCTCCTCTCTCGTCCTCTACCTGTTGCGCCTCTCTCTCTCCTCCGTTCTTCATTTTCACGAAGCTCTTCGTCAGTGTATTCTGGCTCAAATAAATAAGGGCGGCCATCAAACTCTGCAAAATCAAATTCCTCCTCCACAAAGTCGAAGTCTGGCAAAAAGTCAGCCATTATTCTATAAATCTTTCATAAAATAAATGAATGAACTTTTCAGGCTACTGTCCGGTTCTGCCTTCCAGCTGTTGCTGCTTGTTCAGGCGCAGTATGAGATCGCTGCTTGTTCTCGCGATATTTCGGCCGCTCTTTGGAAAGCAGAGCTAAATGGTAAACAAACATGGCAGCACACCGGTAAGGTAAGACAACACGTTTACATGTCGTTTTCTATATGTTCTCTGACATTTATCCTGACGATATGAGCCGGTCTTTGTGGAAAAAAAAGCTTGTTTAGTGGACTAACTTTGCACTTGAAGGTTGCCCGTTCACTTAGGTTTTAATAGGTCTGACGCTACTATGCGCCCCGGCTGTATCTAGGCTAACGGCTAACATGCTAACTATTATTTTTATGTCACTAGTCACTAGTCACTTGAAACAAATAGGAGACAGGTTGAAATAAACCGAAATTTCCTTTTAATGAGGGAGCAGATTTAGGAAAAAATGACGTTCATCCCTCTAATGAAGTTCAAAAAATTGGGGACATTGACAAGTAGCATTAAAGCTGTTGTGGAGGCCCATGGTAGAACAGCACCTCACTGAGATACTTCATGTTGGTTTTTCATGTTATTTGTCACCCATCTGTCTATATAGTATATGGATGCATGCCTTGATGTCGGGTTTGTCAGCCTGATCAAAATCTCAGAGACTTCAAGGCATTTTTATGGTCTGTGAACAGACTGTAAAATGTTTTTCAGAAAAGCGCGAGTGATCAGTTAATGCAACTCACCTGCTCGAGAAGTGTCTCTTCCTGTTGCGCCTCTTCTCTTTAACCTTCAGCCGTCTGTGAAATCTTCTGTCTGAATTATTTCTGGATCTGTTTGTGCAGTTGATTGCACGGCGGCTCTTTAACATTTTAGCAGCGTTTGTGAAATGCACAAAGGCAGATGCTGACTGTGTTGTGCTTGCCACCCAGCAGGGACTAACTGTGATGACTTCTGCATTTAGTGATGTGACGTGAAAATACTCCATACGGCTGTCTCGTACAAAACCTGTAAAAGATCGTATTGTTGAGCTGATATCTCCTGCTTTTGTCATCACACCTGGCTGATTTGCGATGCATGTAAAGCGTGTGATTTGTGCAATACAAAACATGCTGCTGAGAATCTGCTTTACAACACAACTTGAATGTTTAATTAAACAAAAAAAAACATTACAGTTTTATTCAGTAAATACTAACCTGCTAAGCATGTGTTAACACACGACATTTCAGTGGGCATGAGCCGATTTTCATAGTCACACAGCACGACTTAAATATTTCACTCATCCAAATAAGACTTGTTGGAAATGTCATCAAAAGGAAGCTGTTGTACAGCACACTGAAGAAGGTATTTACTGATCCAGTGAAGTCCAAAACAACAACCATCTGTTCCATCGGGTTTCTCCTGCTGCCCCTTCAACACAGCAGAGCCAGCAGGGGAGGAAATTTAGCTTAGTTGTGTCTCTGATGGAAATACAAGCAGCCACTACATCTTTTTTGTGAGCACAGAACAAAGCCTACTGTATGTCTGTTGGGAACTAGATGTAAGCATGTGCGAGTGCATACATCCATTCCATACATAGAGATATATTGGGTTCGAATTCTATGAGTTAGCCAAACAACCCAAAAGAAACTCTTGGCTGTTGTCTGGTTCATACACTCCGTGCATGTGACTGTACTGTCTGTACTAGCAGGTGTTTAACACGAAACATGACACACTTAAAATGTTTATTCATTAATTTTCCAAAAACCGCTTATCCTGTTAGGGGTCACGGGGGGGCTGGAGCCTATCCCAGCTGACATTGGGCGAGAGGCAGGGTTCACCCTGGACAGGTCACCAGACTATCACAGGGCTGACACATAGAGACAGACAACTATTCACACTCACATTCACACCTACGGACAATTTAGAGTCACCAGTTAACCTGCATGTCTTTGGACTGTGAGCACCTGGAGAAAACCTACACAGACACGGGGAGAACATGTAAGCTCCATGAAGAAGGGCCCCAGCTGACCACTAGATTCAAACCCAGAACCCTCTTGCTGTGAGGTGGCAGTGCAAACCCACATCCCTGTACTATCTTGCCTCTATTATTTTTAATCAATTTTGTGAAAAAAGCGTATTGACTTTCTTGCGAAGGCTTAACTGCATCAGCAGGTCGATACTACTACCATGTCTTATCACTAAATATGAAGCTAGAGCCAGCGGGCGACTGCTGACAGAGGGTGATGTTTACATTACAATCTTTGTATGGAAACAAACAAGAACCTGTGACATGTAATGAGTGAGCTTTAGAGGTGCTGCTGTTTGCTTTAGCTTGTGACTTTTGAATGTGGAAATAAGAATAGTATTTCTCACATTGTGAAACTTTTCCAATGAATTAGGCTTAAACAATAAAGCAGACAACATAAAAGCAAAACAGGAGTAAGGTCCCGTTTATACGACAAAAGATTTCAACTGAAGACGGTAAACTTTAGTTGCATTTTGGCCGATCGTTTACACAACAGCGGCATTTTGGGTGCCTGAAAACGCAACGTTTTGAAAACAGGTTCCAGAGTGCAAGTTTTTGGAAACGGCACTGTTTCCGTTGTCATGTAAACTTGCAATATGCAGTTCCTCTGAAAACGGAGACTTTTCGCACATGTGCATTTTCCAGTCACTAGGCATGCGCAAGAAAGTCGACCATCACAACAACAATGGCGGACTCCTGAGCTCTGCTTGTGCTGCTCACCCTGTTGAATTTATCAACGCTTCCCCATCATGGTGTAGATTCACTGTAGCAACTCTACCTCGTCATCCGTCCAGACAAACGTTCGTGCGGTTGCCATTTTGTTTGTTTATACATCACCGCTCTGTAGAAGGAAGCGTAAGCGTCACACCGCCAACTACTGGCCTGGCATGTATACTGCAGCATTTTTGGTCATTTTTGCAGATCCATGTGCACAGCGTTTGTTATCAGAACATTGTCGTCTAAACGCGGAACTTTTTTCAAAATGAAAATAAGAAACGATTCTGTTTTCAGTGGATCGTTTTCGTGTAAATATGGCCTAAGTTAAATGTTCTATTAAATGGTACATCCTGGATAAATTACCAGACTATCACAGGGCTGACACATAGGGACAGACAACCATACACACTCACATTCACACCTATGGACAATTTAGAGTCACCAATTAACCTGCATGTCTTTGGACTGTGGGAGGAAGCTGGAGTACCCAGAGAAAACCCACACTGACACAGGGAGAACATACAGACTCCACACAGAAGGGCTCCCTTTCTTGCTGTGAGTCAACAATGCTATCCACTGCCCTACTGTGCCGCCTAGTATGTAGGAATGAGGG